GGGTGGGGGGGGAGGCTGGAATGCATTGCCAGAACACCAATTTTTCTCGTGGGAACCAAGGTCATCTCCACAGGTGTTGGATGAGAACAGAGAGGAGTGCCTAAGGAGCCCACCAATGAACCTAATTGGACAATGTGACCGATAACACTTGGGAAGGGGATCATTTACTATTTCAACTATACTGAAACTGCGGGACTTATTCAGAATTGGTTTTACATTTAGTCGTGCCGATATGATGTGCCTAATAAAGAAGATCTAAGTCTCAGCGTTCTGATTTCCTTGGGCTCGTTAATTGGAACCTTGACAATAACATTTATTGATAAATCCCCTTTGAAAACTTTACTTGAAAGGTTATTAAGATATAGTAATATTTCACAGATTTATAAAAAGCTGATGGTATATATTCTGTTAAAAGATATCAACATTTTATTTTGCTTTCCTCACTTTTATATTAAATGCTAAATCTCACTCTTTATTAGAAACTTTTTAGACATGAAAAACTAATATGCTACAATATTTCAAAAGATCTAAAATAAAATTGTAGATACAGTTGTATGTTTAAGGAATTGATTTCACAGCGTTTTTTAAATTCTAAAAATATTAGAATATTCAGAGTTTTGTCAGGAAAACATCTCATTTTATGGATTTACAGGGCTGAAGATTTGATAGTGCAGTTAACAGAGATGACAAAATGTAATTAAAGCTGGGTCTTGCATCCTTTGCAGACATATAAATTATGCTTGGAAGTATATGGAATCCTGATACTACATAATCTGAGAAAATCTGTGGACAGAATATGCCTCCAGACAAGCATTTCACAGTGATGGTACCATTGATAAACATTATGAGGAAATAAAATTCTAAATTTAAGATTAGTCAGGAATTTACAAATGTAGGTGGACATAATATTCAGATTATTTTATCATTTTCATCAAAGAATGAATAAATATAACTGAAACATAAATATGTGGGTTAAGACAGTATAGTTATGATAGCTATTACAATAACTCAGAAAAATAGCTCTATTTTATAATAATCTATATGCATACATAACTAAGTTTAGAATAAATTAAATTATTGTAAAGGCACTCCATATAAAAAATAATCCCAGGTTTACCTGTGATTACTATACATTAATTCTAGTGCTTGCAATTTAATTTGGTTCAGCTTTCAAAAAATGTTGGTGTGATTAATCAGAAGGTCTCCACTATTTTATTTTGGATTTATCTGTCAACTCTGGACTGATGTCAGTGGAACATTTTTAGATGCAGTGGGCCTTGCGTTTGTTTGTTGCAGTAACTTGAAAATACTAGGGAGTATCAAACTAGGTTTGTATGGATAGTTTGTCAGTTTCAATTTCTTCCTCCTCCTGGGAAATAATAGAAGTAGTACCAAGTCAGGTTAGTTCTCCAGCTGTACAAAACCTAGTTTTTTCACAATCATATGCAAGACTGTTTCCTTTCCTCTTAAAACTGATCTATCATTGTGTCTATTTGTGTCTATTACCCTTTCAAAATTAGAATATATTTGGCACTGTTTCATTAAACACTTTTGTAGAAACATTTTTATAATTGGAGGCAATCTCATGTTTCTTTATTTCACATTTTTCTGCCCAGATGGGATGTGGGAGGAAGGCCAGACAAACCAACCTACTGAAGTTGAGGCAGAGTCTGCAAATAGCATAATTGCATAATACAGGTCTTCTTGTTAAGAATGTAATGGAGCCTGCCCATTCCATTCATAACCTGAGGATTCGTTGGAGTGAATCTCGTACCTTGAACAGGGTCACTCCCTTTCACCCACGCATTCGCTAATCGAATGTGAGGCTTGTTAAGTGCACATGAGGTATTTCAAGGTGAGGAAGGCCACGGGGGCCTACCGATGGAACAGGCCACCTGCCTAAGACCACCCAAGGCTTCCCCGACCCACTGAAATACTTCATGCTCCCTACAATTGCTTCCCCAATCGTAGGGTTGCCAGGTGTCCACTATTTGAGTGGACAGTCCACTTTTTTCACATTATGTTCACTATTTTTTTTCACAAAATAGTGGACATTATTTTTATTCAAAAGCTTCATGATGAAATGGTACGTAATCTAAAGCTGTACAGTCTAAGACCGTGATGGCGAACCTATGGCACGCGGAGCCATATTAGTGGGCACGCCAGCTCAGCTCTGGAGCGCACGCGCACGCCGGACAGCTGATTTTCGGGCCTTCTGGGCCCACCAGAAGTAGGGAAACAGGCTGTTTCCTGCCTCTGGAGGGCCTGGGGGGGTAGGGAAGGCCCGTTTTTCTTTCTTACCTGGCTCCAGATCCTTTCTATGGATCTGGGAAGGGCGAAAACAGCCTTTCCCACTCCCTCGGAGGCCCAACGGAGGCTGAAAGGGTCCATTTCTCGACTCCCGGTGGGACAGGAAGTGACTTTTTTTCTGTCCCCAGCCTCCAGAGACTCCTAGAGAGGCTCCTACAGACTCCTAGAGAGGTTCTGGACGCTGGGAACAGCAAAAAACATCACTTCCTGTCCCACCGAGAGTTGGGAAATGGGCCCTTTCAGCCTCCGTAGGGCCTCTAAGGGAGTGGGAAAGGCTGTTTTCGACCTTCCCAGATGCATAGAAAGGATCTGGAATCTGGTAAGAAAGAAAAATGGACCTACCAGGCCATCATGTGCCAGGAGCGGGGGTGGGTGGGGTTGCGTGCACATGCACGTGGGCACGTGCATGCACGACCCTCCCCCCCGCCCCCCCTCTCCTGGCACGCGATGGCAAAAAGGTTAGCCATCACTGGTCTAAGAAAATAAGGAAAGGAGAATCGTGTTTTGTCTTTTTTTTCATAAGTTAGAACGAGACAAAGATCGAATGCTCATTGTAATAATCACATTTTACCCAACAGCACAAAAAATGCATTAAAGCAGTTATCTTTTGATATCGGAAATGTAGTGCTGAAGGTTTTTGCCGAATTTTCGAATTCTGCGAAGAAACGAGAAGAGTTGAAATCATTTTTTGAGTTTTGCGAGTCAGAATTCCATGAAGTTTTGCGCCATGTTCCAACACATTGGTTAAGTTTGTTTAAAGCGGTCGAAAGACTTCTTTTAAACTGGATACCTCTAAAATCGTATTTTATTTCTCTTGGATCTGATGAGTGCCATAAGGTTACCTGGAACCTTATTTCAGATCAGGAAAATGAACTCGCAAAGGATGATGAACCAACAATTTCAGAATTGTATTTATATTTCACGCACTTCTTCATGTCAATAATGCAAGACACCCTACTGAAGCTGGAAAGCAAGAAAATTCTTGCATGTGATCTTCACATTATCATGTGTAAGTTGCGTGATTCTTTGCAAAAAAAATACGATGAGCAGTTTTTTGGAATGAAAGTTTTATTTGCCTTACGTAAAAAACATTTGCCTGAGAATGCTGTGCAAAAGTTCAAGAAAGAAGCCATCAACGTGTATCAAAGAGTCATTGCGTACCTGGAAAAGTGGTATAATTTCACCGATTCAGTATATGAGACGCTAAGTTGTTTCAATCTAATTGATCGCAATAATCCTCCAACTTTAGAAGAAATGACAAACATCTGGTTATTATCACCATGGCAAGAAGAACTTCCACCCAACGCTCTCTTCGATGAAATTTCTGCCTTAGAAGAAGTTTATGTTCATCTGCAGGGCGATTCATCCCTTGATAAGTGGACGTACTTTTTCAAAAAAGAGCCAGCTCCGAGTTTACTGAAACTGTTCCAGTATTGTGCATCAATTCCGGTATCAAAAGCAAATGTTGAACGAATTTTCAGCGTCATGGGAAATTTGTGGACTGACGAACGTAACCGACTGTTTGAAGTGAACTTTGTATATTTTTTAATATTTCTCAACGTTGTACTGAAATTAAAGAATTATTTCTTAAACACAAAGAATTGATCAAAGCTGCGCAGTCAAATAAAAAATACACACGACAGCATAGTAAAATGTAATTTAATATTTTACATATTATTATATTTGATTTTGAATTTTAAGTAAAGTTTTGAAGTGATTATTTTAATACGTGTTAAAATGTTTGTAAGAAAATATATAATTTAATTGTAATTTTTTTTATTTTTTTACTACTTAACCCCCCCCCCCCGCCGCTTGTTCGCTATTTTTTGGAAGCAGACCTGGCAACCCTACCAACCTGCCACACCAGGTCACTTACCTTGTGAAGATCTAGCAAGCAGTCTCCTCTCCAGCCTCTCAGCTGCATGTGTCCCTCAGACGCCCCATTTGGGCCTCCACAGGCCTCACCTGACATGTTGCCGGCCAAAATGGAGCTCCTGAGGGGAAGAGTCTGGCCTTCCGAGACTCTATTTGGCCTTCCACGAGCCTCCCCTGGCCCGTTGCAAGCCGAAATGGAGCCACCAGGGGCTGGATGCGGCCCTCCAAGGTTCCGTTCAGCCCTCTGCGGGCCTCCCCAGCCCCTGGAAGCTCCATTTCAGCCTGTAACGGGCTGGGGAGTCCTGCGGAGTGCCAAACAGGGTTTCTTAGGGTTGGATACATCCCTCAGAAGTTCCATTTCTGCCGGCAATATGCAGGATGAATGTTGCAGAGCCTCTGCGGTTGTTCGTAAGGGTGAACAACTGCCATGGTGCTGCAAGATTTGTAGTTTCGGGTCTTGTTCGGAAACGTTAGGGGGCACTGATCGTGGAACTTCCAACATTCGCTAAGGGAACACTCATAACCTGGGGATTGCCTGTATTGTCAAAACCCATTTATACTACAATGCTATAGTTAATGGGTGTTTTCCTACTACTTGGTAACCTGCTAAGGAAGATAGTAGCAAATCTAGGGGAGAAAACTCATTACTGTAGTGGCTGGTGGTGACCCAAAAATCAGAACTACATGATTCTGCATGGAGCTGAAACAGAAGCTGAGAAGAGGGACTGATGTGGTCAGTCCATTTTATGCTATCGTTCTTTTGCACTCATAGATAAAGGGATACATTTTGCTTTATCAATGATAAGAAAAGAAACTATAGTAAGACAGACAACTTTATTTCAGTCATTCACCAATAAAAGTACTGTTCTGTCCCCCTTCCTCACACAGGCAAACGTAATACCAAGCACGCCTGCCAATATTTTATTAGGTAAACAGATTAGAATTCTTGGCAGACCAAGGTTTTGGCAGCAAACTTCTGAATGCCTGCCAAGACTGTTTTCACTCCCATAAAGCAGAAAATGACTTATCTTCAGTCCGTTCCAGGAGCAACAAATTATCCACGAGACAAGAGTTTAGTCAATGTTCAGTCCAAAATATATCCAAGCCGAATTTCAGAGACCACGATGTGACTTTCAGGGTTTAACTTTGTCTGTCACAAAGCCTGAAGAGCAATCCCACCCACTTTTATTCCTGGTGGGACGTGGCTCCGTGACTCAGCTCAATCTCTGGCCCTCCCACGCCTCTTCCATTGCTGCGCACATTTCTCCCTCCGATGCTGCCTGGGATCAAGCCAGGATTCATCATCCTTGCTCCCTATCAATTGGTACTCCGATATGCCTTCCTCCTGGCACATCCCAGGCTGTTCCTCCTGGCCTTCGGATGAAACCTGAGGCATTGCCAGAAAGGAGGGTCCTGGAGAGGGAGGCCTTGTCAGTTCCTCCCCATCACCTTCTGAGTCCTCTTCCTCTGTTAAGATAGGCTCGGGAGTCGGGGTCACAACAAGTACAGTCAATAAAATGAACAAAACAAAATGTTCATTTTAGGGATAACACTGTAGTTATGTTTTTCCCAGCTCAAAATGGCAATATTTTGTTCCTTTAGTTTCAACAACTGCAGATAGAATTCAAAAGGCCACAAAAGTTGTTCAGAGGTAATGGACTGGTGGTAGGAGTGTGGACTGCTCATCCTTATTGAAACTCATCCTATAAAATAGAACAAAAGTATACTTGAGATATTTCCATTAATTGAATTGTAATAGATACAGTGATTTAAAACCTCAGACAGATACAAGATAATTTATCTTCCAGTGTCTTACAAAGTATTAATACTTGATAACTGAGGATTCCATTTCTCTCAGAGACCCATCAAAATATCACTGGATAAAACTGAAGAAAAGAAAATCTAAATTGGATAGTGTTTCTTCTCTACAGATTTAGAGAGATATAACCTTATTTCCCTTACAGTGAAATGTTAGGGGTTTTTGAGATTGATATATGTAATAGATGTGATAGATGTAATTAGGTGTTATTTTCAGCCCTTAACTGGATGGAAAGGCCTTTACTGATTTATCTGATTATGGTTTTGTGTGCATTACAGTAACACATTTTGGAGTAGCATTACTTTCACATACCATTTTTACAATAAGACTGTCAATATGCAGTTTCCTGTTTATCATTAGTTAAATTGCTATGTTATAACTTCTAGATTGCTATGATTTTCATGTTATATTATTTAACTAAAAAGTGATCAGCATACTCAACTGATGCTATCCAGCCTGTTGTGTGCATCCTGAATCTTAAAGTGACTTTTCTTGAAAGAATATCATATACAAATATACACTGGTATCCCAGAAGAGGAGGGTGAATTTCCTCGGAAGAAAATCACTAAATGTATATGACATTTCTCTAACGTTTATACAGTAGGAGTATACATATATGCATGTATTTATAATGCAGATAGTATCTCACCAGTCAGTTTGTATTACTTGCCTGTATTAGTCATTTCTTTCATTTGATGTCCTTTGACTTCCAACAGCATCTTAGATTTGTTTCAATATGACATGCATATTCATACATATATCAGTGGTGGGTTTCAAATTTTTTTACTACTGGTTCTGTGGGTGTGGCTTGGTGGGCATGGTAGGGGAAGGATACTGTAAAATCTCCATTCCCACCCCACTCCAAGGGAAGGTTACTACAAAATCTCCAATCCCTCCTGATCAGCTGGGACTCAGGAGGCAGAGAATAGATGGGGGGTGGGGCCAGTCAGAGGTGGTATTTACCGGTTCTCTGAACTACTCAAAATTTCCGCTACCGGTTCTCCAGAACTGGTCAAAACCTGCTGAAACCCACCTCTGATACATATATCTAAACACAGCACATTTTACAGGCCTAACTCAAAATAACAGCCTCCCTCCCACACAGAGCAGATGAGAAGAATGGGAGGCAGATCATTTGTTGACATTCAGTTGAACTTCATCTGACAGATCCTGATATTATTTTTTTTCAAAATAGAAAAGGATATTTAGAAAAAGGAATAGGCTCTTTTCCCAGATATAACTTCTGTTAATAAAACATAGTATATTTATTCATCTGAGAGAGAAAAAATGCCACTGGATTCTTTCCAGGAGACGGCTAGCTAAACCCTGCCTAGGATGAAAAACGGAGCAAAGTGGAATCCAGGGTATGACTTCTGAGAAATAAACTTCAAGGACTAGGGTAGAATTTATTCCCAAGTAAACCTTATGCGAGTCAGATGAGGGCTAGGAATCCTAACGGAGGAGGAGGAGGAGGAGGAGGAGGAGGAGGGCTCTGGAAACTGAAAGTAACCGTTTCCCACAGCATTTGCAAAACTAGCCGGCCACCCTCTGTTGAACACCCCGAGCTCCGGGCTATCAAGTCCCGCGGCGGCGGCCTCAGGAGGACCATTAGTGCGCGCGCAGTTTTCCGCCAGGTCGCCGTTGCCGCGGCCATGAGGAGCTGGTGGTGGTGGTGGGGCGCGGCGGGGCTGCTGACTCTCCTCCTCGGGGAAGCGAGAAGTAAATATGCGCCTTTACCGGACATCACCAACCGCACCTTTATCAAGCAATACATCGACATCCACAACAAGTTCCGCAGCCAAGTCAAGCCCTCTGCCTCCAATATGCTCTACATGGTGAGCGGGTTGCCGGCGAACGGGAGCGGGGGCAGGAGGAGGCCCGGGGGCATTAGAGGGGGAAGCCGTGAGGAAAAGAGAAGCTTCGGCTCTGCCTGTTAGCGTGCCGCCCCTTAGATGACACCCAAAGAAAAGTTTGCCCGCGGAGGGCGCTGCTTCCTGGGGCTGAAAGTCATTCGAATTTGTGCCTGCGAAAGTTTGTGGGATCGTCGAGTTGGGGGAGCTTAACGAAGGGGGAGAACAGGTATCTCAAGAAAATAAGAAACAGCCCCCGTTTTTTTCAGGAGCTTCAATTTAATCATTCTTCCAAAATTAATCCCATTCCCACAGTATGGGATAACAAGGCTGGGGCGGGGGCAAAGTCACTCACAAGTTTCCAAGCTTCAACCAGCAAATCTGAACGCGTTTATCTCCACCTAATTTTGCAGTCCTAGCTAAGGGAACATGCCATGATTCCTGAGCTGTTTTCCGTAGGGATTTTCCTGGCTACTTTCACTTAGTGCCTATTACTGGTTATCAGGAGTTTACTTTTTCCCAAACAAGTGGATGGATGCATCCTAGTCACAAGAATATTTTTATTGTAATGTTTAATTAATTTATGTATATTTTTACTGTATTTTGGGGTATGTATTTGTTGAATTACATGTACTCTATGCAATTTATACAGTAAAAGACAAATAAATACAAGGAAATGAATGCATGTATTTAAGAAAACAAAATGCAAACCATTGCACACAAGATTTCCATTAGCTAACAATAAGCATCTGATTGTGAACGCTACCATTGATCCCTGAGCCATATCCAGAAGTTAAAAGTTAAGATTAAAATCATGTAAAAATAAGTTTTAAATGTTAAGTCATTAAAAGCATATCTAAGCATCAAAGCAAACAAGCTGCTGGAAGTTTGAGACCTTCCCCAATTGTCTCAGAATGTTAACTTTCAAGTGAGCATTGAGTCTGGCTGCTGGACTCCCATCAGCAGTCTCAGCCTGCTGAAAAGATTGGTGATTGTCATTTAATAAATCAGAAGGCAAGCAAGGAATTAGCTTATAAATTCTGCACTGGGAGGAGTAGATTATTCTATCTCATGCTGCAGCAACATTTACTTTGCTGATTCTAGTTATTTATAGCTCCCTTCTCTTCATTTTAGGACATGTTATTTCTGCCCATTGTGGGGACATTTTAAATGAAAGATAACATAGGAAATCTCTCAGTTCACAGATGGATACCAAAACTGACCATAATGTACAGAACTAACGCTGGTAGTTAGTTGTATGCAACCCACATTGAAGTTTGCCACTACTGCTATAGAGGAAGGGAGATACTGAAAACAAATGTGGAATAGTCTATTCCCTATCCTGTATAATTACTACTGTTCTTTCTGCTAATCCACACATCTACTGGTAACATTGAAATGCATTTTAAAAAACCACTATGGGTCTGGAATATACAACCTATCGCAAAATGAAAGGGTGTGATCTAAGTAAAAGCAGAAGTAATTTCTAACATAATTATAACTTCTATGTTATAACTAAGAAGAGGAATTATTATGATCTTGTCCTGGTTCTGGTAGCTTTTTTCTCTATTCCTTTAAAAATGTGAATTGCTAACATGTGCCACATACAATAACTGGATTTATAGACAGTACTAGGTGGTGATAGTTCACGATGTTTTTTCTTCACATCCGGTAAGCAGAAAGACATTTTACCTGAACATCTCATGCTAGTTCATATTCAGATTATGATCCACCAAGATACTTGATAATTTATTTTGAATCCATATTGCTTTGAAGTATACTTGCATGTTTTAATGTACTTACATTAATCTCTTTAGATGTATAAAGTGAAGCTTAATGGAAGCAAAGGTGCAGAAGATGTACACATATTAAAAAAAGTTTGTGTAAATTCTGGTTTACTGACAGGTAGGGTAAGAATAGAAAGTTGAAAATAATATCTTGGAAAAAGATATAGCTGATCATTTAAAAAACCAATCCACATTACAGCAGTTTGTTGCACAACAATCCTATTAAATCTTCACTGGAGACTATTCTTCAATATGTAATCAGTATCTACATATGTGATTCAAAGCATATATATGTTTTCTTGCACATATATTAAGATTATAAATGTTATTTTTATAATATTTATAATTTTAAAAATACAGAATCAACTTTTTATATAGGCATTACAAATAAGTAAGAATCATCTCTGAAAGTTTTAGATGTTATATCTTCTGCAAATTACCAGATTTTAATAAAAAATAATAATTTTCTTTATAGCATAATCATATGAACTAATGCATGGAAATTCCTATCAGTATTTGGATGGGTCTCAGTTTGATATTTGTGCATTTACTAAGGGAGATAAATATGATCAAAAACTTAACTGATAATTTTATCCTTTGCAGACATTTGATTTAGCTTTAGCTAGAATTGCTAGAGCATGGGCAAATAAATGTGTTTGGAAACATAATCCTAATCAAAGGTACCATCCTGATCGTATGTTTAAGCCAACCGGAGAAAATATGTGGTTGGGAGGTGCAAGCAGCAAGCCAATTAATGTCGAGGGTCCAATTAAAGCATTTCAAAGTGAAGTAAATTACTATACTTTCTCTACCCATCACTGCACCAAAGTATGTGGACATTATACCCAGGTAAGATATGTATTTTTGTGTTTATATAGTCCACTGTGACAGTAAATTATGAATACTGTTTACAGCTGCTTAGTAGGTGAAGTTACTGTGTAAGATTGCTTATTTACAAACATATGGAATGGTAAAAGGCAACTCAGAAATTCAAAACGAAAAAAAATAATTTCATCTCTAAATATTTGTTCACTTGTTTGTTTGGTTTTATGATACCCAACTCCAAATGACTCTGCTGAATATAATACCTCCAATATAAAAACAATATTAAGAGAGAACAAACAATAGTATCAGACTTTAACAAAGAAAAAAAAATGAGCAAAATGGTAAACCACCTAATGAGGTCTGTATGGCTTTTTGGAACACCAACAAGGTGGGAATCATCCAGATCTCAGTGGGTACCTCATTTCATAAGGCAGGTGCTGCAACAGAGAAGGGTGCTTCCTTGGATCAGGTAGATGACATTGTTTAATTGAAGGACCCCAGAGTGCATCAACACTATTAGTTCTAATTGGCAAGACAGCCTCCAGAGAAGATAGGCAGTCCCTCAAATAACCAGTTCCTATACCATGTAGCACTTCATAGGTGATAATCAATATCTTGAAGCAAATTGGCATCCAGTGCAAGTTATGGAGCAGAGGTGTCACATAGTCATGTAGCATGTGCATAACTGCTCACGCTTGTACATATGGACCTGTTGAAGGTTCCAAGTTGCTTTTGAGACATATAAAGTGTGTTGCAATAGTCAAGACATGAGTTCCCTAGATTTCAGACCAGCCTTGAATGGAGAAGTGCAACCCCATCCAAGGTCAGAGATGAAATAACTCAGAATCAGGTGGTCCTAGACCCCACAACCACTTCCTCTTGGTAGGATTGAGTCAGAGACAGTTCTTCCACATTCTACATTCCTTTATATCCTGGGACAGTATATCAAAAAGTCTCAGTCAGCAACTATAATTGCTTATTGTCAAGTAAACCAGACAGAGAATCAACTCCACAGGAAGCTACAACTCCTTTTATTGAGATTGACTATAATAGTAGAATCTTGGAAGTCTGATTGTGCTATGTCTATTTTAGCCATTTATGCATACCTTACATTGTTTTGGATTTAAGCCATGTCTTTCTCCTCATGGCTTTGGGTAACAGATCTGGCCTTATCTTTGTCAAAGTCATTGCCTCCAATTACCATCAGCATACTGATGATACTAAACCCCAAAGTGATGTAGGACAACACACAGTGGGTTCATGTTGATGTTGAATAGAAAGAATAGAAAGAGAGAGAAAGTTGAACATTGTGGTACCCTACAGAGTAGGGGCCTAGAGAATGACCTTTCTCCCCAAACAACACAAACTAGAATTGTCCCTGAAGGAAATGATAACAACTGCAAAATAGTGCCATTTCCTTTGCAATTCCTGGAGCCATTCCAGAAGGATACCATGGTTGATGGTATCAAAAGCTTCTGAGAAATCAAGGAGCTGAAGAATGGATGCATAACTCCCATTGCAGATTTGCCAGTAGCCTCCTACAAGGACAATCAAGGCGGTCTCTGTATCAAATCCTGGCCTGAAACCCAACTCAAATGGGTCAAAATAATCCACTTTCTCTAGAGTTATGGAGTTCCTGAATGGCAGCTACAGTATGATCAAAAGGGAAAGTTGGAAACAAATTGGTTTTGATTCTGACAGGCATAGCACTGTGTGCCATCTCTCCCACAAACAGTCAGGCATCATAGCATAGACCCAATTACAGATCATCTCCTTGGCTGCTTTGACAATGTGGAAGGGGCCCAAATGCAGCATATGGATGGCTAAGCTAACAGCACAAAGAATCCTGTGCAGTTCTTCAGGAGTCAACAGTTCAAACCCATCCCAAATCACCTAAGACTAAGCCCCTTTCAGATAAATAGTGAGGTTTCTCTGCCTTTATCCACAAAGTAATCCCTAACAGGGCTCTTCCTCATATTTGATCAGTCTCTTCTGATCCATCATCTCCTGGATCTCCTCAGTAAATTTAAGATGTACTCTAGGATCAACACACAGGGAGCAGCCAAATAGGGACGATGCAGTCCAAGGAGAGCCGCTTATTGTAGGCAGCAGCCAAGACCTCAGCTGGAAGCTTCCTACATCCTTGGAAAACCCTCAAACCTTTGGAACCCCATAGTGTTCATCAGTTGCTTGGAACAGCCTGATTGAATCGGTCTTGTCTCCCTGTAGTAAAAGTGGCACCAACAAGACAAGAAAGTAAAGTGATCTGTCTATGGCAATGGATTGGTGTTAATGTCCTTTGCTGCCACATGTTTCCCAAGACATAATAATAATTTAGAAAACCAGAACTGACATGCAACCTCTGGTATGTGTTCGGCCATCAGAAATAAGTCAGGGCACTGTTCCAAACACTACATCACTAGGTGGCAGATGAAAATCCCATATACTCTTCACCAGCCCAGGAATGGAACTCAACTGGCCAGGCAAGGATGGAGCAAGAATGGTACTATAGCAGCAACCTTCCCAACTGCTCTCTAAAACTTCAGAGATCCTCACATCTGATTATCTGCGGAGCTTCTG